AGAGAGAGAGAGAAAGGTCCTCTATTATTTTTTAATTGTTAAAATAAATAAATAAATATTAAATTTTTAAAAAATGAAAAATAAATACCCAAAGGGTATTATAGTCATTTTAATTTTTGGAGGGACTATTTTCACATACAAACTAGTTTAAAAGGACCACGAAGCGAAAAAAAAAAAATCGTGGTTTGGACTAAATCCCCCAAAAAATACATACCTCAGGGACCATTTTTGCATTTTCGTCTATATTTTTTGAACAAAATAATAAGACATTTTTCTTTTCTTTCATTTTAAGGTAATTTTTGCTAAGTTATGGTCATTACTTATTATTATTGGTTTGCCCTTTAAGTTATAGCTGGATACACTAAAACACAAAATATCATTATTAATTAAGAGTGTTTAATTTAATATATGTAAGAAAAATATGGGTAATAAATCAAATATATTTATACTTTCAAAAATTTATAATTCCGATCTGGTAAGTTCATGTATAGATTTGAGATGATCCAAGAAACTACCATCTCGATTTCCAAGTAAAATTCAAGAGAGAAACACACAATACTCGATTTGCTTTATGTTTTTTTAGACAAAAATAATTTGTTAAAAACCATAAGGGAAAAAAATAATCTCCTGCAAAACCAAAAACCCATAAGCATAGGTATACGACTGTTCACCATGGTTTGTTTTTGCGGAATTTTCTTTAGAAATAAATAACCTGTTAAACTGTGTATAACTTGGGCCACACAAAGATGACCCTTACCTCATCCGATGACCGATCAACGAAACCATTGTTACGGAGGTTGCCCTCATACCTAATACTTATAGGAGTGTGCACTGGGTAACTTTCAAACTCGCAATATAGTAGAAACCGAGCTCAACATTTTGCGATAACCGGATCATAATAAACAATTTGATGACAATAAAATAACCAATAATATTTTGTTACTTTGTATTTAAGGATAAAATTGTATTATTATACACTAGGACGAAAATTAAAAGTTGCTCAAAACAAGAATGTGTTTAAACTTGTTGTTTGAATAAATCTTATATTTAATTTTTTTTTTTTTTTTTTTTTTTTTTTTTTATAAATGTTGTCAAGTTCATTATTGTGGATATAAAAAGAAATATCATGAAACAGACCATGATAAAAAGAAAATTTGTATATATTTCCATCTCCTTTTTCTGACTAACCGCACCCCATTCTAAAAATTCTTATAATAATGCCAAGAATCAAAGAGAAGAAACTTTGTGCGTCCCACGAATCTCATCCACTCGCGAGAAAAACTAAACACACATATAGATATAGACATATACGTATAGATACACAGAGAGAGAAAGAAAGAGTGAGACAAATTTCAGAGAGAGAGAGAGAGATTTTACCTGGAAGCTTCAAATCATTTTTTTGTCTTCAGAAATCAAATTCATGTTGATGCTTCAACCAAATCTCAGCTGTTTATGCTAAAATCTTGAAGAACCAAAAGGGAAAATGTGGGAATAAAGTTTCCGAATTGGGATATTCGTTACAAGCCCTAACCCTAGTTCTTACCTCCAGCAAATCTAAGTGATACCTTCATTGCCATTGAAGAAAAGGATACGCAGCTGGTGGAAGACGCGAAACCTCTCAAGAATGAGATTATCAAAATGAGGTTCAACTCCCATTCGAATTCAGACACCCCCCCTTCTGAACCTGACGAAACCCTAACAACCCCAGATAAAAACAGTCCCGTTTCGTTAAAACCAGATTTCACCTCTCCGCTTTCCGACCAGATACTGATTAGCATCCTCTCCAATCTCACAAAATCACAACAAATTTCAAGTTGTTTAGTTTGTAAACGGTGGTTGCGAATTAGCGGTGGTTTAGTGAAATCCTTGAGATTATTAGATTGGGATTTTCTTGATTCCGGTAGACTCGCCCATCGTTTTCCCAATCTTCTTGATGTTGATATCGTTCAAGCTTGCATAGTATCCCCTCGTAATTCGGGTATTTGTTTCAGTAATAAATTTGTGTCTATTCATGTTAATTCCTTCATATCAGATTCCGGGTTTATTTGGAAACCTGATTTTTTGAGTCCTAATTTGATCGATAGAGGTGTTGAGATTCTTGCTCAAGGCTGCCCTAATTTACGAAGGCTTGTCTTACTTGGTGCAACCAAAGAAGGGTTAGCATCTATTGCAAATGAATGTTTAGCTTTACAGGAACTAGAGCTATGTTCCATTACAGACATGGATTTAAAAGGACTTGCAGGTTTTAGAAACTTACAGATCCTAAAACTCATTGGTTCTGTTGATGGGTTATATGATTCAGTGATTTCAGATATCGGGTTAACCATTTTGGCTCAAGTATGTCCAAGATTACTGAAACTTGAACTTGTTGGTTGTGAAGGGAGTTATGATGGGATCAAAGCTATTGGTCAATGTTGTCAAATGATGGAAGAATTGACCCTTTCTGATCATCGATTGGAAGGTGGGTGGTTAGCTGCATTGTCATATTGCACAAATTTGAAGACTTTGAAGTTTCAATCTTGCAAATTCATTGATCCAAATCCAGGGCCTGATGTTCATTTAGGTTCTTGCCCTACCCTTGAAGAATTACATTTACAGAGGTGTCAATTGAGAGATAAACAAGGTTTAGGATCTTTGTTTTTGGTGTGTGAAGCTGTTAGGGAACTTGTTTTTGAAGATTGTTGGGGATTGGATAACAACACATTCTTTACTGCAAGTATTTGCAGGTATGATTATGGTGTTTTTCTCTCTCTCTTCACTTTCTTTAACATTTTGTATTTACTTCTCTTATCTACTCATTCCATAAATTAGAAGTTATATGTTTTCTTTGCTGAATTACACATGAATGATTTTAATAATCAATATATGAGTGTTTTGTTTTGACATGTAGGAGAGTGATGTCTCTATCTTTGGAAGGATGCTCGTTACTTACAATGGACGGATTTGACCCTGTAGTTGTTTCATGGAAAGAGCTTAAGAGACTTAAAGTAGTTTCTTGTAACAACATAAAAGACAGTGCCATGTCACCCGAATTAGCGACACTTTTTTCTCTTCTTAAAGAGTTGAAATGGCGCCCGGATTCAAAGTCTATTCTCTCATCAGGTCTTCATGGCACTGGAATATGGCAGAAAGGTGGAAGAAGCTTCAAGATTTAACTCTCAATTCTCTTTTTTTAAACTTTTTTTTTTAATAGTTAGGAGGATTGTCACTCTACAAGTTTAGAAAAAGCGGCTCTGTTTTTATCTTCAACAGGAGAGTATACTTGCTCTAGTTTTTTCTCATAAAAAAAATTAGTCTTAGGATTTAGTGAACAAGTGTATCACAAGTCACTACTTTTTTTTTTTTATTAATTTTTCTTCCACATATAAAATTTTGCCCCTTTTGTGTTGTTAGGCTTTATATGGAAAATTAGTTGTTATATATTTCCCTTCTTCAAAAAATGAGTTGTTTTGAAATGCTGTGATTAAGATATAGTTTGGGTTAAACAAAAATGGAATAAAAAGAAACCATGATATTAGTATTATTATTGATAAAAATAATAACAATAATATTAGTAGAGGTAATAATAAGAAATTACTGTACATATTTTGGTTCCTAGGTGGTATATAATTGATTTTTTCAGTTTTGGTCGTAAGGTTTCTTTAATGAGGATTGTAAAGGTTTAGCAAACTGGGTTAGTTAATGCAAAGATGATGAAAGTCAGGTGCTGTATTTGGAAGCATAAGCTGTGCCTGTTAAGGACTGAAAGTGACTAAAAGAAAACTCGACGGGTGCAAGTGGAACTTCGCTGATATATATAGAATGCGAGAACCCTAAATTGTTATAGGTAATTGAAAATCTTTATAGCAACCAAATGACATATAGGAGCCAAGAATAAGAAAGGTTAATATATAAAGTTTTTAGAATTCATCAATTTCGTACACACGAACAAATTACTTAGAAAATGATCATCCATAAACATGATGCTGATTGATACACGCCAACAAATTGACATTAACACCAATTAGATAGAAACAAATCATAATCAAGATTAAAACTAACCTTGTAAATTTGATCTCGACCCTTTGCTATCGTCGAAGAACATTAATTTTTTTTTTATAAAAAGAATGAAATAAAATAAAAATAAAAATCTATTAATAAAAAAGACATGTTAAAAGAAATGGAAAATTTATATTTTAAACTTTATTAAAATGAGACCAAAATCAAAAATGAAAAAAAAATCGAAATAAAAAAATATAAAGAACCTAAACTTGAAAAAGAAATTAAAAATATAAAGATAGACAAAAATAAGAAATAAAAATATTTTAAAAAAAAAATAAGAGAAAAAAAATGTTAGAAGTGGAATGGAAGACCGAAGACGGGAGGAGTATACATATCATAATTCCATTCCTTGTAAATCTTTTATTCCTTTTCGTGTATGATAAATTGATAATAGGTGGAAGAGATTCTGCCCTAAAAAACCCAAGAAAGATTTTAGATCTTCGTTTGAGAAAAGCCAGCGTTGATATTTGTGTTATTGGAATTTTAGTTTAGTTTGGCAGAAATTATTACAACTCTCAAACCCTAAACAAAAAAATAAACTCTCACATACACCAACTTACGAATCAGTATCTATCTCACTCTAGCAAGTTAATCAAAGCAATTAACTGCATCTAAGCTCTCACTCACAACTCACAACTCACAAGAATGAAGTGTGTAGATGAAACCTTCAAAGAAGAGATTTAATCTATCGGTTAAACTAATGCTTTTTTCTTTTTGTGTCTTTTATCCATCAATTACAAGTTTCAAACTATAAAATTGTTGATTTCTTTGTGTTTTTCATCCACATATGAGCATTTATAGGCTTCAATTACCCAAATTTTTTTATCTGAATTTGTAGTTGTGATGATTGTCGTTTTTGCACCATAGATAGCACATTGTTACAATCGATACTATTGTTTATATTGAAAATTGCCTAGAGTTTTTTCATGTCAGGGCCTTAAAGTATAGTTTGAGTTTTTTCATGTCAGGGCTTTAAAGTATAGTAAGAAAGATTAGTTTGTGATTTATTATGTAAAGCATGTTTGATTGTGAAGATTTTTTTTATGAAAAAGACTACATAACTTGTTGGTGCTTAGCACTAGACGCAGAACATGAAATGTATCCTTGGAGTGGTTTATTAATTATTACTATCATTCTTGTCCTTTTTATTTCTATTGTTTTGTTATTATTCTCTTGGAATCTGAGTGTGGGCATTTTCTTACTTTTGTATCTTCTAACTTGTGAACCGGATTATTTGAATGATTGGTATTTTTGTTTTATCTTACCGTGTTAGTTAAATAGTAATATGAGATTTTTGTATACAAACGTTGATATATAATATTTATATATTTTATTTAGGTTAACATGATAATTTTCAATTTCTTTTTTCTAAGTTTCCATATATTTGTATATATGTTATAATATGAGTGTATAATGTTGTAATTATTATAAATTATATGCATTTGTGTTATGAGGGTATGTTTGTCAGCATCAATTAATTTTATTTCATCATTTTTTTTCATACCTATCAAACAACAAAGATCAATAATTCATTCCATTCCAAAAAATAACCAAACATAATGAAATGATAATCAATTTCTTTATTTTGTCCAACATAGATCAATGATTCATTCCATTCCAAAGAAGTAACTAAACATGCCGATGAAATAATAATAGCCAAATTTAATTAAATGTAAAATCTCATTCCTGTCATATTTGTCAGTCATTTGCAACTTTATATCATTACTTTATTTTGCACATGTAGAACCAATATTTAAAGCATAAATCCGTTCTTTAAAGCATAAATGACATCTAAAAAACAATATTCTTTGTTATAACTTTTACGCCTTAAATATTTTACCGTTATCATGTAATATTTCATTATATAACTTATAACATACTTGTGTACTACTTCAAAAGTTGGTCTCTCTAAGCTCATTCTCTTTTTGGCTTTAGTGAATTTTATTTCATTCATGTTTTTTTTATATACCTACCAAACAATATAGATGAATGATTTATTCCAATCCAAAACAGTAACCAAACATGATAATGAAATGATAATCAACAATTTCATTAGTTTGTCCATTCCATTCGATTCATTTGTCATTCCGTCATCAAAGAGACCCTAAATGTAAAATCTCATTCCTTTAGCATATTTTTCGGTCATTTGGTTATATTATTACTTTATTTTACACAAGTAAAATCAGTATTTAAAGCATTAACGACATCTAAAAGACTAAAACACAACATTTCTTTATTATAACTTTTACGCCTTAAATATTTTACGGTTATCATATAAAATCTTGTGTACTACTTTAAAAATTGGTCTCTCTGATCTCATTCTCTTTTCGACGTTCTCATTTTTGCTTTATTCTTCAAAAAATATAAGCCAATATCACTGAGCAATTGTGGTATCACAAAATATTTGCAATAGCTTGGTGTTGAACTGTTTATGATTTTAGTGTTATCTACATATTTTGGTATAATTATTATTAATAATAAGATAGGCTGAGCTCCATTTATTATGAGATGCACACTCGAAGTGATAAATATGAACTCGGGAATACGGTGGTCCGGGGGCAGCGCCCTTGGGTGCAGGGTTCCAAGGGGCAGATCCCGTGGCGGTGGTTCCGTCTTAATAACTAACGAATTTTGGCGCCAAAAGGGATGCAACTTCCGTTTAACTACTTTCCCTCTAGTATAAAAACGTTTTCTGGTTCAAAAAACGGGTTGAAACTTTTCTACACGAAAATCATACATTGATTTGTTCTATCTCTCAATAGCACAAAAACAACAATGTATTTTCTGTGTTTCTGATTTAGAAGTGGCATGACTTCTAAATTAAAATTCTTTGGATTATCCCAAATTTGATTTCGTGATACCCCATGCTATAGAGTCGAAATCACAGATTTTAAAAAATAATTGCAATCACGACCCAAGAAATGTACAAGTATATTGATCTTCTTAAGACATCAAATTCTAACATGAACAAATGTGAGGAGGGAGGGGGGGGGGTCCACTAGGAACACCTTCAAACGATTCGCCTTCCTCAGTCTATTTGTTGTGCTGCTCCATTCGAAATTGTAAAGACCCACAATTGAAATTCGAAATTTATATAGAATTATCGATGATTCAATTCCTATGCCTTGCGATCATCTTATCAATTTGTTAGTACCTTGACACTGAAAAAAGGTCCGGTTCAAACACAAACACCGATAGCTCATCATATTTTCATATCAAGAAACATTACCGGTAAATGATAGTGGCTATATTAGTCAGGGCCGACTCTATCATTTGCAAAACTAAGCAAGGGCTTAGGGCCTCAATTCTAAAGCCCCCCAATTTTAAAACTTATTCTGTTAATTATATATGTATATATTCGTATTTCTTAGGTTACATAAACAAGTTGGAGGTTGGCCTGGTTGTAAAAGTGCTAGTTTATCAAACTATGAGTCTTAGGTTCAAATCTGTTTGCTTACCTTTCATTCATTTTATTTTGGAAGCTACTTAAACATATCCCACGTATGGATAAAACTGAGCCAACTCCCCTCTCTTATATAAGTTCCACGTATGGATAAAACTGAGCCAACTCCCCTCTCTTATATAAGTTCTACATGTTTTGAAAATTTCCAATATATTGTGCACCTATCTTACCCAATTCTCTTTTGAGTACGTAGGCCACCGCCTTTAATTCACATAGGTTTTTGTTTCCGTTTTAAATTTTGGTTCTATCATTAAGTTAAGCAATTTAAAAAGTACTAACGTATATTGGTGCGTATCTTTATTTGGAAGTGTTGTAATTATTAATAATAAATAATTTAAGTAAAATTATTTGTTTTATCTTAATCATGTGGTTATACTATGTAAATCAAATGGCATCGTTTACTAAATTTGTTTGTAATTTGTACTTGTGTTTGTGGCTGATGACTTTTAACAACAATTAATTTTAAAATGACTTTACATATATCGATTGTAATTATATGAATCATTGAATGTCAACAATAGGAATACCTTTGGTGTGGAAAATTTATTGTGGTACATTTGTGACATTTATATAGATTATTAACTTTTTTTGGAAACGGCCATAAATTATATTAGAACCCCAGCCGAGCAAGAAGCTAAGCAGAGGCAAAATAGGAAACAAACAAACGTAAAAAGAGTTAATTACAACACAGAAAAAGGAAAGGAACTCCACTCATCCCAATTATATCTAACTCTAGAACCTCTATGCTTAATCCAAAGAAACGTCATTGACTTGATGTATTCCACTCCACTGTTTGGTGTTATGAATTTGCCTTGAAATATCCTGTCGTTCCTGAATTTCCAAATCCCCCATAGTAGACCATAACATATAACAATGAATCTTCTTCTTTTCTTCGGACACCTTCCCCAATTGGCAACAAATTGAACTAAGTCGGTAACTCCTGTAATTAAGGGGGGTAAGGTTACATCGCACCATTTAAAGATCTTCTCTCGTATATAGGCTGCAAATGGACATGTGACTAGTAGACGATCAGCATGTTCATCATCACTAATATAGAAACCACACGTGGAGGAAGACAAGGTTATACCACGACACATTAACGCCATGGTTGTGGGGATTCGACCCATGGCTGCCCTCCAAATGAACGTTAGAACCTTGATTATGACTTGTTTGCACCAAATGACCAAGGTATTCGAACCCGGATGTGTATGTTGGTCCAATTTGTGACGAAGCAGTTCCACAGTGTACTTACGATCCACCGCTAAATTACAAATCCAATGATCCTGATACGATGTCGCTGTATAGCAAGCTAAGGTCATGTGCTAAGCCCAATGAAAGAGGACACGAGCTCCATTACCAACCATTTGTGTTGTCTGTAATCTTTTGGGCCACAATACAATTCTTGTTGGGTTCAATTGCATACAAATATGGAAATTTGGATCTCAAATTTACAGGCCCGCTCCAAGTGTCGTTCCAGAATGATGTTTTTTCACCTGATCTCATTACATGTTTGAAAATTTCATTGGACTGAATGTTGTACTTTTGGAGCTCATTTTTTACATTAGCAATGTTATTCCATACATCTGTAATGTTTTTATTTGATAGGTAAAACTAGGCTTGCCTTCCAAGTTGTGTATACTAGTCACAACACGACTCCACAGGGCCGATGGGTTCTTTTTAAAATTTCACCACCATTTAACAATTAAGCCAATGTTAAGAGTTCTAATCGAACCGACGCCAAGTCCTCCATCTTCTTTAGAGGCAATCACCTTGTCCCAAGAAACCCAATGAATTTTCCTGTTTTCCTCATTACCACCCCATAGAAATTTCCTTCGTAATTTCTCGAGCTTTTCAACAACACCAATAGGAGACGTGAAGATGGACAAATAGTATGTAGGCAAGCTACCTAGCACAGATTTTACGAGGGTTAAACGACCGCCAAAAGACAATGATTTAGCTTTCCATGTTGATAGCTTGGTTTGGAATTTTGTTATCACTGGGTCCTAGTTCTTTATTCGATTCATGTTGGCGTCCACTGGCACCCCTAGATATGTAAAAGGAAGACTTCCCGCATCGCATCCAAGAATGTTTGCCCAACTTGTCGTTTCCTGCAATGTGGCACCAATTCCGAATAACTTGGACTTATGAAAAATGACCCTTAAACCGGAAGAGACGTGGAAGCAATTAAGAATGCGAGCGAGATTTTTGAGGTTTGATCTTGTCCATTCTCCAAGGAATAGTGCATTGTCTGCATAGAAGATACGAGAGATTGATGGTCCACCGTTAGGAATACTGATGCCTTTGAATATACCTTTTTCTTCCGCTGATTTGAGTGCAATATTTAAACCCTCCATTGCTATAATGAAGAGTAAAGGAGACAACGGGTCTCCTTGTCAGACTCTTCTCGTGATGTTAAATTCTTTGGTAGGGACTCCATTAACGATTACAGATGCACGAGACGAGGAAAGGCATCCACTTATCCAACTCCGCCATTTATTTCCAAAACCCATCTAAGCAAGCAAAGAGTCCAAGTATTCTCAGTTTAATGAGTCGAATGCCTTATCAAAGTCCACCTTGAATAGCAACACTTTCTTCTTTATCTTTTTAGCCCATGCACCAATTTCATTAACAATAAGCGATCCGTCCAATATGTTACGTCCTTCGACATAAGCTGATTGTTCCTCTCCAAAAACCTTCCCGATGACAATCTTGATTCTAGTGGCTAATAGCTTGGTGATAATTTTGTTGAGGCAACCGATTAAGCTGATTGGCCGATATTCGCTAAGGAAGATAGGATCTTTGGTCTTGGGAGCAAGTGTGATGAAGGATGAGTTGCATGTGCGTGATAATGTGCCATGGTCTTCAAAATGACGAACAAAATTCATTATATCAGGAGCTAGAACGTTCCAGTATCTTTTAATGAATTTGAAAGTAAGCTCGTCGGGGCCTGGTGCTTTATCGCTCACACAGGACCAGACAACCCCTCTAACTTCTTCAAGTACAAATGGAGCTTCTATGCGAATCACATCCATCATTGATATGGATTGGAAGTGAGGATTAATGAGTTTAGGGCGAGATGGCCATTGCTCGCTGAATTTAGCTTGAAAGAATCTAAATACTTCATCTTTGATCTCCTTTGCTTCCGTTGTCCACCTGCCATTTATTGTAAGACCGTTAAATCTATTCCTTTTATTTTTGCAATTTAGGAATCCATGAAATAATTTACTGTTTTCATCTCCATCCACCTTCCACTTGATTCTTGATTTTTGTTTAAGGTCTAATGTTGCCAGCCTTTCAAGTTCAAGGATTTTCTGAAGACCATTGGATCTTGTTTTTAGTTCTTCATCTGTTAAGGATCTGGATTTTGCTACCTTTTCAATCTTGGATATGTCATCTTTCAGATTGTCCAACATCACTTTTTCATTCAAAAGTTCATTCTTTCTCCATTTTTTTATTCCATTCTTTAAATGAATAAGTTTGGCAGCCAAGTAAGCATCCGGGCTACCATATCCATTAAAGGAGCTCCATGATTCTGTAACAACCTGATGCAAACCGTATTTTAGTAGCCATGAGTTGTAAAATTTGAATGGAGGAGGACCAAAGTCGACGACTGAAGATATGAGTGTAATAGGACAATGGTCAGAGAGTTCCTTTAAGTCAGCTGTGACCGTGGAGGAAGGAAAATCGGAGAGGAAGGAGGAGCAAACTAGAAATCTATCTAGTTTACTGAGTTTGGCACCAACTCTGGTCGTGAATGTATATTTCTCACCTCCCATATTAAAATCATGTAGACCAGCATTATGAATGAACCTATTGAACAATCTAGCACTTGACGGGAAAAATGTGGAATTAAATCTCTCCTCCTTACGTCTAACGACATTAAAATCACCAAAATAAACCCATCTACCAACATTTGCTTGTTGGATCAGAAGAAGTTCTCTCCATAGGGACATTTTTTCTGCTAGTGATTGGGGTCCATATATATTAGCAAAGATGGTGTTACCTGGTAATCCTTTCCATTTGCCAATCACGATTAGATAGGATTTTGATTTGAAAACCATAGTTTTCTTAAAAAAAGGTTGTGTTCCATATAGATATTAGACCCCAGACCTGCCATTTGAGTCTACCCCATCAAAATCCAAGTCCAAGGAATCCCAGCAACCATTGACATCAATACGTGAGAAGTCAGATAGTTACGTCTCCTACAGCCCTAGGAAATTGATTTTATGCTTTTCTTGAAGTTGCCTGATCCATTGAACCTTAACATCCTCCCCAATGCCCATACATTAAGAGAAAGACAATTCATTGGAAACTAATTCTATCTCCATTTTCACCAATCACATGTGCAAGAAGCCCATCATTCTTGTCAATTTGAAAGCCGACCTCTATACAAATTTCAACTGTCCGTGATAACTCATTATCCGATCGAGAGGGGGAGATGTCGACACCACTAGAGGAAGTAGTGCCTGTCGAATTACTTGTAGAAGGAGGTACATCATTCAGGTTAGTTGGTTGTGTTTGACTACTGGCCCCCATTTGAGGAGCAGGAGAGAACAACGAAGGACCTGCGAATGTCGGAGATGAGCATGAGCAAGATCTATTTCTTTTCCTTCTTTTTCTCTTTGGGCCTCCACCATTAGATCCAGAGTTTTGAGTTGGGTGTTTTGTGTGGGCTGGAGTAGAATCACGTGGGAATTTATTGGATCATGGGAATGGCCCAAAACATCCTGTAGGGAGCAATAATGTCGAGGAGCCAAATTCAAAGAAACGGGGTTTTGAGGGAGTCTGGTCCAAGGTAAAGGATTGATTAGGTGGAGGCGCATAGGAGAATGTGTTTTGTTCCAGATTAATCACCTTTCCACGTGCTGTGTTCTCTAATGTTTGGGGGATGTCAAACGTTGATGACATATGGGGAACATTCGATGTAGCGTTTAATGCAACGCCCACTTCGCCCGTTGGGATCAAGATTGGAACTGGAGAGGTGGTCGGCGGTGCAATCATCGTGAAATTGTATTCAACTCTGGCAGCTCCGACCGACGAGTCGGTTCCATCGTTTCCGTCGCCGATTGTGGATCTTACAGCCTCCGGTCCTATCTGTTGGTGATTGTCATCTGTACGAATCTCTCCATCCTCCAACTCGTTATTTTCCTCTTGAATCCAGGTATCCGAGATACCGCCATCATCATCTTCTTCATCATCTACATTTTCCTCGTCTGAGTATTCTTTCACTTTGTCGAACGGAAGAGGTTTAAATGGCGACCAGTCATCGGTGTATTCAACTACACCAATCGCTAATGTTTTCCCATCTGCAGTGATCTTGACTTCATCGTTGATCCAATTAGTTTTTGATGTCAATACTCCTACCTTACCCATAGAGTAATCACGACGATTGTGTATTCCATCAAACGGGTAAATGACTCTTCCAAACCGACTTGCTATTGCTGAGAAGTTGTCTTCATCCCAAAGTCTTAACGAAAGTCCCAATATTTTTAGCCAAGCTGTACGTTTGTATTTGATATCCTGTTGGTCCCCTCTGTACAACCTTGTGAACCAGTCCCTCCATCTAGCTTTGTCATTCAGAAATTCATCGGCTTCCACAGAGTGATCAAAACATAGTGCTATTTGTATACCCCCCAAATACTTGGTGCTTACGTACCCTATCGGTAATGCTGGGAGGTTGCCGATGTGGTCTAGACTGTGAGCTTCACCAAACAAGACAGTTTTCCGAATCTATTAATTCTCCCATGGAAGTTTGTGAGTTGAGGGGTATTGGCGGTAAGGGGTTGTCTTTGATTCATGCCGCCACTTGGGCGAATGTTCTGTACTCACTGTTATGTTGAGGGGGAGGGTGGGGAGGATGTGGCGGAGCCTCATGAGTAACGAAGTTGGATCGACTTGTCCTTTGTATTTGGTTTTGTATGGGTTTTCTTTTATATTTCTCCAGATTCACCAATAGTACTATGTCTCTCAACTTAATGCCTTGTAGTTCATTCTCCAACATCTTGTCATCCTTGATTCCATTGAACCTGAAAAACGCAAAGTTCCTTTGGTGTGAGTCTTTCTTCCTTCCCATGTATACGTCGACAACGTTACCAAATCTTGTGAACGTCCTTCTTAGCTCATCCTTCCTTGTATCACCAGGGAACCCAGAGACATATATGTTTGTGATTATGTTGCTCTGATGGTAGTTCCGAACGAGTTTTCTTCGTCGGACCTCCGACCATCCGCCACCGTTTCGTTCTTCCATCCTTTGGGTTCCTATTTGTTTGATATATAAATTATTAACTAAGTTGTTTCTTTTTTACTATTTAATTTAATATTAAAAGTTGAATTCGTCAGGGTTGAAGAGTTTCTTGATGAGGACCAAGAATGCTATTAGACAAGGGGTAAATAAGTACTATCATATATTAAGTAGAAAGAAAATGTCTGTTTCCCGAAAGTATTGAATATGAATACAAGCTATGACACATACTACATGTGAATTGATTTAAGTACCTAATATGCTAGGTGAAATTTGGTTTGTTCAGTCTAAACCAATTAACCTGTAAAGTGATAATAAGATGACTATCAATATTATAAACACTCCCGTGTTTCATGGAATGACTAAACATATTGAAGTAGACTCGAGTGAAATTCTAGAAGATGAAACCATCTCTACTCTCCATTCTCGAACATGAAGTCAACTAGCTAATGTCTTCACAAGTTGGACATGATTAACATCTATGATTAATGATTCAGGGGGAGTGTTAGAATGTAAATACAATTTCCCAGTTGTGGCTTGCTTGGACAATTTTCTAATTGCTGTGCCAAAACTATAGATTATATTTTAAACATCGAAACTTATTTGAAAGCACCATTTTATGAAAAGGGTTGCCTGATCACCCGCTACGACTTTCCCGATGCAAGGATATGAGTTTAGGGCTCACCATAGGTAATGTGCTAAGTACTGCATCACAACCAAGACTTCAACCCAAACTTCTGGCCATCCCAATTAAAACTTCAAAGATTTTATAAGCACCATCTTATTATGGGAAATAGACTTATTAAGGTAATTAACTTTTCGGTTTGTTCACATCTGGGTAACTATCTTTTTTTTGTACAGATCTAGGTAACGAACTTTTTGGAAGTGTTCACATGTGAACATTATTACCGAAAGTAGCAGGTTACATCCGATTATAACCGGTCATAATGTTCATATGTGAACACTTCCAAAAAGTTCATTACGTAGATGTGTACAAAAAAAAGATAGTTACACAGATGTGAACAAACCGAAAAAGGTAAGAGTAAATTACACGAATGGTCCCTATGGTTTGGGTAATTTGTGCGTTTGGTACCTAACTTATTTTTTAACTCGGATGATCCATACTGTTTAGTTTTTTTTTACATATATAACAAATAAATACATAAATAAGAAAATTAATTAAAAAATAAATTAAAAATGACACAATAGTTTTTTGAGGTAAGACAGAGACCAAACGCACAACAAAAATAAACAATACAGATCATCCGAGTTAAAAAATAAGTTAGGTACGAAACACACAAATTACCCAAACCACAGGGACCCTTTGTGTAATTTACTCTTACATTTTCGGTCTGTTCACATCTAGGTAACTATTTTTTTTTTGTACACATTTTTGTAACAAACTTTTTGGAAATGTTCACATATAACCATTGTGACCGGATGTAACCTGCTACAGCAAGTCATAATGGTCATATGTGAACACTTTCAAAAAGTTTATTACCTATATGTGTACAAAAAAAAGATAGTTACCCAGACGTAAACAAACCAAAAGGTTAATTATCTTAATAAGTCTATTTCCCATCTTATTATCTCCGATCATTTCTCTTTCAACATCTCATGAGTTTTGCACCACCTCCTCAAAATCTTTAGTAGGAATAATATATATATACTTGCAAATTATGTGACAACGGACTAAAGTGGATTTTCTATGATCATAAGTTTATAACTTCTGTTTACTACATAGACAACTACAATTATACGTTTTGCATTAACACAAACAAGATAAAAGTCAAAGGTTGACAAATTCGCCGATAGCTATCATGGACGTGTGTGGGTCCCTCTCGGATGTTGTTCCACAATGGGCAAAGGTGTTGCATTTAATGCTTGTTTTGTTTTACATCTATGTCCAAAGAATTCTCATTGATATTTGTGGGTCACTGAACTACTTTGTGTGTTTTTTTTGTTAGGTATAAGCATAAGGGGCCAACACACTTATTATTCAGCCTACGCTTCGTAACACATCAAAATTCTCTTAAAGGCATTTACTGCGCACCTATTGTAATTTTGTTAGGGGTGTTTGACATGTCTTGCGGTAAAAGTTTTAAATATCGGTAGAAAAATATATTTGAAAAAAAATATTAAATTTAAGACGAATTCATAACAAAAATTTAAACTCACATCAAATTTGTAATAAAATTTAAAATTTATACCAAAAGTTTAGAATTTGAAAAAAAGTGACCTATTCAACCTATGATAGCATGTAAGTACCATATAAAAAACATAAGTTGGTTATCTTTTTAAAATATAAAATCAATTACTTGACAACTTTAAAACATTCTGAAAACTTTGTTTCCAAAAAATAATGATAACCCTGCATTTTATTAGAATGTTACTAGACAAATAAATATTAGTTCATTAGGTAGGTGTTCCCAAAAGATTTATTGATCAGTTTAATATGGTTTATGTTTATTCTATTCACTTTACATAGTTTTTTAACGATTCTAAATAAAGGTAGCCAAATCAAACTAAATTCGGTTAATTGAATCTGAGTTTGGTTTGATTTACCGGATAAACCAAACAAGGATTCATGTATTTTAGAGGAAAAAACTTTCATTCACAATTCACAAAGTAAGAAACTAAAATAGCTACTTTGTAAAAAAGATAAGAAAAATGTCCATAATACCACCTAAAGGCTAAATCTTAAAACAGTAGGACGAATGTTTGCCATAAGTTTAGGCTTTGTTGGTGGACTAATTGAAAAACTAGCTACTAACTGAAAAGTTGGTAAAGGGCTTCTAGCCCAACGGTACCGGTATTGCACTCCCTCCTAGAGGTTGAGGGTTTAAGTCTCATTCGAGACATAGGTGGTATTAGAAGTAGTATAGATTTGCCGTTCTAAAAAAAAACCAAAAGTTAGTTGTTGGCTAATAAAATTAATATTTTATAAATTAGATGATAATCTACTCAAATATACAAAATAATATAAATGACATGTATAATATTGATTTTGTGCATATAAATCAATAAATTGTATATTTGTAGAAACTAAAATATAAATAATATCGCGGGAAAAGGATCATTCATAAAATAGTATTTATATTTTATAATGTTTTAAGATATTTAAGAAATATATTAAAAATATTTTATAATGTTACCTTTTTAATATATGTATTTGTATTTTGTTAATTTGTTAGTTTTGTTTTTTGAATCAATTCGTCTTTGTAAAGTACTAAAGTTTGTTAACATCATGTTACATTCATTATTTATTATTTAAAATAAAAATAATAAATCAGTGTAAAATTAAACACAAATTTGTATTTTAAGATAACTAGTTGATAAAAATACAGTTAAAAAATAATAACATAATTTGTTAACCCAACTACATAAAAATATAACCAAATTCAAACAAATACGATGATCTTCTAATTATTTTGTTACGGAAATTAGTCGAACCAGGAATGGTGACGGAGGATGTTGGTCTTTACGTGGCTACAGGTGCTTCATAAATCTTTTGCCACGTGTTAGCATTTCATCGATGACACCAACTTCTGCAACATTCCAAAAGCTTCCCAATTTTCGATGCTCTCTCACTCTGTAAACTTTAGTATATTCCCAATGTATATATATGAAGATATTTTGTGAGGCTAAGGGGAGTGGTAACACTCTTAGCACCTTGCAACATCAATTTTTTGAGTGACACCTCATTTTTTTCCATTTGACATTTAATCTTAGTATTTGTTAGGGAGTGGTAACACTCCTACCACTTTTTTTTTTTTTTTCTAATTTAATTAAATTACTTTATTTTAATACACAAACATATATGCACAAATATTAATCAGATTTTATTTTTTTAAACCACCAACAACTAATATAATATTAAGTGTCGGTCCTTTTGGTTCTTTTAAATCAATGTTTGATGCTTGGGATCAGATTTGTAGGGAATGATCAAATGAGGGTTAAAACAATTTAATTGAAATCAAAGTTTTGAATATTGGACTATATTTGTAAACAAATTTCTAGTGAGGGTAAGAATCATTTATTTGGAAATGAAGTTTTGGAATGGGAAATGGTTTGCTGATTAAAAAAGCATACGCATGTGGAGAAAACAATTGAGAACCAATCAGCTGCATACACATGTGCAAAAAACAACTGAAAATCAATGAGCTGCACTTTTTCTTTCTCTCTCCGTTCGCCAAGAGGTTGACGACTATAATTAGCGAGTCTTTCTAACGAGTTGATAGGGGCGGTATTTCAACATTGTTAACGACGCTGGCGAGTCCTGTGACGACCCCCACTCCTTTTAGTCTGATAGAAATAAAGATTAATTTGGTAGTTCGGAAATATCTATCAATCCAATAATAAGTACTCAAAATATCTTCACACAAAGAGATGCTCGAAAAGCTTAATATCAACTAGGAAAAGGTCTGTGGGTTGCCATGGGTAAAAGTTTAGTGGCAAAAATATAAAAAAATAAAAATAAAGTGCCAAAATTATAAAAAGAAAAAGTTTGTTGAAACTTTAGTGGCAAAATTAGTAAAAATAAAGTACCAAAACTATAAAGAGGAAAAAGTTTGTTGAAATTTTAGTGGCAAAATTATAAAAAGGTAAAAATAAAGTGGTAAAATTATAAAAAAATAAAGAAAAAGGGTTTTAAAGAAGTAAAAGTGAAAGTTTAGTGGCAAAAATATAAATAAGTAAAAATAAAATGACAAAATTATAAAAATGAAAAGTTTGTTGAAACTTTAATGACAAAATTAAGAAAAAAATAAAAATATAGTGTTAAAATTATAAACATGGAAAGTTTCCTTTTGCAACCTTCCATGCGCTTTTTTATATATATATATATATATATATATATATATATATATATATATATATAATTGGTTATGCTATAAGTATTTATTTTAACCAATTTTATTTTCTTTTAACATCAATCTAATCAATCATTTATTTTTAATTTAACATCATTTTTTTTTGTTTATTTCTCTTTTTGTTTTTCCGTTTCT